AAAATTGTGGGTTTCGTGAAAAGTTAGGGTTTGTAAGGGTTTGAAGTTTTGAGGACTATTGGCGCGGCGGCCAAACGGCTAGACCTAATCCTTCAGAGGAATGCAATGGGACAAATTAACGATGCAAATGCGCGAATTTAAACCATACAAACAGCAGAAATTAAAGTGCGGAAAGGTAAACGCGATAATTTGTTCGCGAAGTTACAAATGAGAAACAGATACAATTATAATACAACTTGAATTGAAAAATACATTAAAATAGCTAATAGCAACGTAACAAGCTGCACATTGAATACACAAGGTTAGTAGACAGAGTCAGACAGTAATCAGACGAGTTATGAAACGAAAGTGCGAAAGTTATAGATATTCTTTGTTGTTTATTTGTGATATATAAAAAAGCTTTTGATTTAAGTTAAAAAAGAGGTTTTAATATTATTAAAAAAAACTTTTCAAAAATAGTCTTAATTTAATTATCTAACAAAAAGGTTTTATTTTTAAAAAAAAGGTTTAATGTTATTATTATATATTTTTTAAAAAACGGTTCTAGTTATTATTTTAAAAAAAGATTTTAGTTATTATTTTAAATTTATCTAAAAAAAAGTTTTTCTTAAAAATAATAGGTTTTCATATTAATTTGGAAAAGATGTTAATGTTATTTATTTTAAAAAACAGATTTTTATATTATAACAAGTTTTAATAAATTAATGATAACAATAATAATAATAATGGTAATAATAATAATAATGATAATAATAAATAAATAATGATAATAATAATACTAATAATAATAATACTAATAATAATAATAATAATAATAATAATAATAATAATAATAATAATAATAATAATAATAATAACAAAGCAATAATGAATTTTAAATGTGCCAAATAACCCAACAATGTTGCTAACGCAGAAATGCGCTCATCGCATCCAGATCTAAATCGGACGAAACAAAATTTATCGCAAAGAAAAAGAAATTAAGCAAAAAACAGTATTATTGCTCACACAAAAATGCGATCATCGCAATCAGATCGAACTAACATAAATGTCACGCGTCATGCACACAAATGTGCAAACATCGTATCGACATAATTCGATCGAAAATTAATCTTATATATATATATATATATATATATATATATATATATATATATATATATATATATATATATATATATATATATATATATATATATATATATATATATATATATATATATATATATATATATATATATATATATATATATATATATATATATATATATATATATAAACTCTAACAATTTAAAAATTATATATATAAACGTAACAGTAATAGATGAAGAAAAAGAAACAACAGTAATAGATGAAGGAAAAGAAATAACGGTAAACGATGAAGAAAAAGAAACAACAGTAATAGATGAAGGAAAAGAAATAACGGTAAACGATGAAGAAAAAGAAACAACAGTAATAGATGAAGAAATAGAAATAACGGTAAACGGCACTTACTCCTCTTAGGTTTTTTTTCATTATCCCCTTTTTTCAACAAAGCAACACATGTATATATAGGGAACAAATTAGGGTTAACACCAAATTGTCAATAATGTCCCTAAAGCCCATTTTAAAGCCCAAACTAAATAATAGGTTAAGAAAAAAATAAAATTTAAATAATTTAAAATAATTAAAATAAACATAAAATAAAAACTAATAATTCTATTGATTCCTAAAATCAAAAATATTATAAAAAGAACAAAATTTTTTTCAATATTTTTTATTTTATGATTTTTTGGATATTTTTATGAATAATTTAGAAAAAAGTGAAAAAAATAATATTTTAAAAAATGATTTAATTAAAATACGAAAATAATAATTAAATAATAATAAAAAACTATTTTTGTTATTTTTTAATGAAAGATAGAAAAATTTAGAGTAAAAATAATAAAAAACAAAAAAGTGACAAAGGTGAGATTCGAACTCTCAACCTCTCACACTCACAACTCCTTACACGTGTCCTCTTGCCAATTGTGTCATTTTTACTTTTTAGAAAAAAAATGCATGCCATATGATATTTACCTGCAAAAAGTCAAACGACCACACAAATTTGTTAGTAATTGATTAAATGCAATAAAAAAGCAATGAAATGCGACGACAAATCTTAGGGAAAATTTTGGGGTATTACACAGATCATATGAAGAAGATTCTGAGAAGTCTTCCTTATAATTTTAGGCCTTACGTAACAACTATTCAAGAAGCTAAGGACCTAAATAAGCTGTCTCTTGAAAGTATAATCAATAATCTTCAAAGTCATGAGATTGAACTAAATGGATATGAGTCTTCTAAGAAACTTAAATCTCTGGCTTTGAGGCCTGCTTCTGAAAAATCAGGTGAAACGTCCAGAAGATCTTCTAAGAGAAGTAAACATGATGAAACTTCTGAAGAAGAGTATGATGGAAGATCTGATGATGATGATATGGATTGTTTCATACGAGGATTTTAGAAAATGGATAGAAAAAACAAGATATTTCCTAAAAGCAATAGGATATCCAACTTCATATAGAAAAAAGAAGGCAGGATCTGCTACAACGACAACAAGCCTGGTCACTTCAGAAATGACTGTCCAGATCTTTAGAAAGATAGTCAGAAGAAAAGATGTTATTAGAAGGATAACATTAGAAATAGGTTCAAGAACAACTTTATGGCAACATGGGAAGAGTTGGTAGATAAAGATTCAGAGAAGGAAGATGATGTCAATATTGGACTAATAGCACACTCATATGATGAAGGACTGTTATCTTCATGAGCTTGCCTCCATTCATATTATTAACATTAATGTCCAAGGTCATCAATTAATCTCCACACTTAAGAGCTACACACGATCACACTCAACCACACCCCCATAAAAAGCACCGCGGATAAAATAATCACAGAAAAATGAGATAATTAAAATGGGTGTTACAATTGTCATCCTTCCTTACGGCAATGACGGTATTGTTGTTGTCTCCCTTCTCGACGGTGACAACTTGGTTGGTGTACTCTTCCTTCTCGACATCACGATCGTGATGGTCTTGTCAACTTCCTTGATGATGACGAAAATGACAAATACAAAGTGAAGAATGGATATTGAAGAGACAAGCTAGGGTAAATGATGGTGTTTTGGTTGAAATCGTGTATTGTTTCACAGTATTGAATGTTAAGGTTTAGGGTTGAAATCGAGTATTGTTTCGTCTAGTTTCTATTTTTAATGTAAAAAGGATACTGAAGAGACAAGCTAACTAGGAGTGTATAAAATTATAAAGCTACCACTACAGCCAATTCCAACAACTTTTATGATATATTACTTTCATAGTGAAATTTCATAAAGAAGCGCCAGAGTTTAATTTACAATTAAAAATTTTAAATAAACAAATAAAATATATCACTACGGTGGAACTAATCAACCGTAGTCATAACCCTTTAAGTTTTTTACTTAAAAAAAAGGCGCGCCGTAACATTAAAGTAACAATATATATGAGGGCGCTGAGATTGAACCCATGAAAGTTAGATGGTATCACCATGGTTGGCTCCTCAACCGTTGTTATATACAAATAAATTTTAATCAAAAAGCAAAAATAATATGATAGCGCCTTAGTTTAGAGATGACACAACGGTGTAGAGAAGAACCGTGGTAACCATAACGTTGTTATTTACACGTTTTGTAGTAGTGAATGTATAGCGGAGGCGCTAGCAATTATCCGGGATCTGTAGTTAACAACTGATTTTGACAAAGTGATTGTCCAAGCAGATGCGCAGGTGGTGGTTGATTGTGTGAATTCTATCATTCTCCTTGTAGATTTGGTCACGTTATTTTGGTCTGTAGTTTATTGCTTAGCAGGTTTAAAGATCGGATTGTAATGCTTATTAGCAGAACTTTAAATTCTAATGCTCATCATATGGTAGGTTCCGGTAGGAATCATTGCTCTAAAACATGGTTGGATTGCTTTCCTTTTAAGGATAGCTCAACTCACAGTTCTTGTTTCTCTATTTGTTGTTAATGAAATAACATTTTCATCATACACACAAAAAAACCATCTTTCTTCATATACAATTCATTATGACTCAACTTTTTATTCATGGGTTCAAATCATGCTCATTTCACGTAACCCTTCTACCGATTAACAAATTAATGACCCTTTACATGCTTCTTCTTCCATCTTCTACGAAAACTCTCGTAATTCTTTTGATGTTATTCTTGGAATGATCGTGTAAACACCTTAAAACCAGAACCAAAACAATGAAAGTGAAGGTTCTAATTGAAAGAAAAAATAGATTGATGACATGGGGGATTAAAATTGAATCTGAAGATATTGATCTCGGGGATTTGAGTTTTTAATTTCATTTTTAAATTTGTTGAAGAGGATGTAAATTTTCAATTTGAGTTTTAGAAAGTTTTGGTGTTTTTTTTCTTTGAGTTTATTGAAGATGCATGATTGAGAATAATAAATTTCTTATTTAATTTATTTAATTTTGTTTTTATTTAAATAGAATAATTTATATTATTAATAAATAAATAATAACTTTAAATAACTTTGATTTAAATGTAATAAATGTGACAATGACACAACAATGGCCAATAACATGTCATTAAAAATTGATCTCAAATTGAAAGAGAAATTAAAATCTTGAAAAATATTTTAAAAAATAGATTAAAAACCCAAAATTTATAATATAGCTAAAAGAAGAAAAAAAATAAAAACCGGAAATTGCATGAATTATTGTTGTAAAGTTATATCATGTGACACATGTGTTTAACTAGAATTGTACAATTCACATTAATAATAATATACCGACAAATAGTTCCATCTTATTTATTAGCTGGAGGAGAGTGGTTTAGGGCTAATTTTAAATTTCCAAATCACATACGTTCTCACCGACACACCATGATATAAATAAGATACTTGTAAGGCATGGAATAAAATAAGCATTACCAAATTATAACTTAACTATCACTTTCCTTCTTTTCTCTTAATAATTCTGGAAACATGCAAGACTTCTTCAAGGGAAAGACTATTTTAGTCACCGGCGCAACTGGTTTTTTGGCAAAAGGTACTATATAATATTTTTTTCTAATTTAATAAATTAATAATAATAATAATTGATTTCACCATATATTATCTATATGTGCAGTTTTTATTGAAAAGATACTAAGGATTCAACCTGAGATTAAAAAACTGTATTTACTCCTAAGAGCTTCAAACTTGGATTTGGCTGAACGTCGCTTGCAAAATGAGGTTCAGAATGAGTTTATAATTACTCCTTCAAAATAAAAACGACTGAGAAAAAAGGAAGAGACATATATAGTATTTGTGTTCATAATTAAATTTATGTAATTGTCACATACCAGGTTTTTGAAATTGATTTATTTCGAGTACTACGAGGCGAGTTGGGTGGAGATTTTAATTCTTTCATATCAAACAAGGTTGTAGCAGTTGCAGGAGATGTTGCCATTCAAAATTTTGGAATAAAAGATGAAAAGCTTAAAAATGAAATCTTTGATGAGATAGACGTGCTTGTTCATTCCGCTGCATCTACCAAATTTGATGAAAGGTGAAACCTAATTTTCGTTAAAGAAAAAGCTAAGTACTATAATTAGTAAATAATTTAATCATTCAAATAATTCTTGATTTCTCTATAGATTTGATATATCAATGGGTGTTAATACAAAAGGAGCTTTACATGCATTGAACATTGCAAAGAATTGTCGAAAACTAAAAGCTTTTGTCCACATGTCCACTGGTAAAATTCTGTATGGTTAAAATTATAGATTTTGTCTTTAATTTATGTGAACTAATTACTAGTAATTAATAACATAAGCCTTGTAACTTGTAGCATATGTGTGTGGAGATGCTAAGTATGAAGATGGAATAGTAAGAGAGAAAGCATTTGAGATGGGTCAATCTCTAAGAGGGACCTCAAAGTTAGACATACACACAGAAATGAATTTGTTGGACAACAAAATAGCTGAACTCCAAGCAATAAATACTGATGAAAATACAATGAAATTTGCATTGAAAGATTATGGAATGGAAAGGTTAGTCAAATTATTTTTCTGTTGCTTTTTTTATTCTTTTATCATGAGTGGTTATAACTTATCAGGTTATATATTTAATATTTTGTGATCTGATTTAAATTATGTAAAATGAAAAAATAGAGCAAATTTGTATGGTTGGCCAAACACATACGTATTCACAAAAGCAATGGGAGAGATGCTTTTGATGCATCATAAAGATAATGTTCCATTGATCATTATACGCCCTACAATGGTAACCAGTACTATCAAGGACCCCTTTCCCGGTTGGATTGAAGGTTTAAGGTATGTTCACACTTACTCACAATTATTAAAATATTCTCTCAGTTTTAAAATAAGTGTCGTTTAAGTGTTTTATATAAATTAATAAATTCGTTTTTACTAAATTAATATTATAAATATGTTAGATGTAGAATAAAAAATAATAATTAAAGGACACAATTGGAAACTAGCAATAATGTCTACATTAAAAAATGAGAATGACATTCATTTTATAATAAATTTTATTTGTTAAAATCACATTCATTTTAAAACAAAGAGAGTATTTTTGTAAGCAAAAATTTGAATTAATGAGGAATAAAAGAACTACTCAACCCTTAATACAAGAGAGAATCAAAAGAACATGAAATAACAACTTCTAGAATAAAAACTTGCACAACAGGCATCTGTTCGGGTCTAACAACCAATCTTTTCACTTATGAAATGGAGAATTCTTAAAGTTAACTTGGTATCACTTTCATGCACCAAGGAGCATGATTCTCCTATGACCAGAGTATCATCATAGGAGACAAATCGACGACTAATATTTGGGCTTTCAAGGCTATTCTGGGTGCTTTTGAATTAATTCCAGGTCTTAAAATTAATTTCTCCAAAAGCTGCTTGTACGGGATATGTGTAGACACTGATTTTCTTGTGGCTGCTGATGATTTTCTACACTGCAAATCTGGAAGGTTGCCGTTTAGTTTTTTTGGTATCACTGTTGGTGGCAACCATCGTCGCTACTCCTTTTAGAATCCGATTCTGAATTGCTTGAGGAACAAACTGTCCAATTGGAATGGTAGAAATCTGTCTATGGGAGGTAGAGTAACCCTCATTAACTTGGTAATTGCTAATTTTCCTATCCATTATTTGGCTTTCTTCAAGGCTCCCAAAAAAGTTGTGAAGGATATTATCGCGATCCAACGTCGGTTCCTATGGGCTGGAAACTCAAGCAATAGTTTCATTCCTTGAGTTTCTTGGAATTCTGTTTGTAAATCTAAGGAACATGGCGGTCTTGGAATTAAGCATGTGGGTCGCTTCAATAGTGCTCTGTTGGCAAAATGGCTTTGGAGGTTCCAAACTGGCGGTAATGAAATTTGGAGGAAGACCCTCAGAAATAGATACGACAACCTCAATATCAAGACGCAAACTTACTTCGACGCTGGTAAATTGAAAACTGACTCGATGTGGATGAAGGATATTTTGACCAACGCTTCATTCAATTCTAACGCTAATTTATGCAACCTTATGGTCTGCTCTGTTGATGAAGGCCACGACGTCGCGTTCTGGCAGTCTACTTGGAATGGTGACTTGCCATTTAAAGAGAGATTTCAGCGGCTGTTTCAGAGTTGTTCGAGGAAGTCGGCGTCCGTTTGGGATATGGGATCATGGTAGGATGGGCAGTGGACCTGGAAAATTAGAGAATCTTTGATCGACTCAGATTTTCCTCCTGAACCAGACTGGACTGATTGTTGTAATATGCTAGAAAAATTTTCTGTTACTCCCGACGAGTCAGGTAAAAGGCGGTGGTTGCTGCATGATTCTTTGTCGTTCAAGGTTATCTCTTTACATTCAGCTTTAACTTCCTCCTCCTTTGATCAAGATATTGGATCTGGCTGTGCCTCCCATCTTGAGTTTCTTTGGAAGACGGTTATCCCGGCGAAAGTTCAAACTTTCAGCTGGAGAATGGCGCTAGATAGATTTCCAACTAGAACTAATTTTTTAAAAAGAAAGGTGTTTGATTCTGAGTTAGATTTGGATTGTGTGTTTTGTTCTAGTAGTTTCGAGGACGTCTCCCATCTCTTCTTTTCAGGCTTTATATCCACGCAGGTTTGGAACAAAATTTGTGAGTGGGCGGATATAGAGATAATATCGGAAACTTGTTGTTATCCTCACGTGAAGGTGTGGAACTCGAGCCTTAGTGGCCGGTGTCAAGCGAACAGATTAAATTCTATTTGGTTCATTACCTGCTGGAGTATTTGGAGGTCTAGAAATGATTTTATTTTCAATAATGTAGTCACTGAGGTCGATGAAATTGTTTTCGACATCAAAATTTCCTTTTTGAATTGGCTGATCTTAGGTAGGAAGGATAGCAAGCAGTGTAGCTTGTATGATTGGTCAAATTTCCTTTCGACTTCTTGTAATTGTTTCTTTTGGTCTGAGATTTCCTTAATCTCTTATTAATAGATTCTGCTTATAAAAAAAAAAGGAGCATAATTCTCCCAACCAGATCTCAATTAGTTAATATTCTTCCTTAAAAAAAAGATAATATACATTTAAAAAAATACATTATACGAGATATTAATTTGGTAATGATACAACACAAGTGTTTAGCGGTATCATTATATACATGTACATAAGATAAAATACAAAGTATGACACATGACATATAATAGTGCCTAAATAAAAACTAAGATCTATATACAATATCTTCATTGCACACAATACACAGGAGAAAATCACAATAGACAGAATCCTTCGAAACATCAACAGACAATTTTCTTGCACTTAACCTGTAATTAACACCAGAAAAACAACAATAATAGTAGGGTGAGATAATTATCTCAATAAGATCTTCTATCATATGGATTCACTCGGCTCTACATGATTTCTATTTGATTCCTAACTCAAGTCTTCATCTTTCATTACTTGTTTATCATTCACACAACATAACTAAGACTTAAGTATTTAAGAGATATTTTTAATATTGTATGGCAATATGTACGCTTGAGTTCACCAACTCAATTAAGTCACTAATCGGAAATTGTACCAAAACATATTTCCCTGGATAATTCTACGTCTAGGATTATCAACACAGGTCACAGATCCTTGTATCATGCTTCAAATTTCTTGTAGAAATCTAACCCACATCAAGAATCATTTCTCCATATGAGACTCAAACTCATTTTGTGCCCTTTCCTCGTATGCGACTCTGACCCACTTTGAGGTCCACATCATCTATGGGACTCCAGCTCATTTGGTTGAACTATGGGACTCTAACATATTTGGTTGATGAAAAGCAATAGTGCATGTATCTGAATTCTTACTTTTCATAAGCATCGTATTTTGGGACGGACGCGACTATAGGGTTTACCTCTACAAAAGCGCTTTTTACCTCGGACGCGAAATGCATAATACATCGGCTAGAGAAGCGAGGTAACAGAGGGCGACATGATAATTTCTAACTTATTACCTCGGAGGTATTAAAACTCAGAGGTAAAGTTACATTCACTTGGGTTTGAACCCCAACAACAACACTTTTATTATTTTCAAAACTAGTGTATCTTTCATCTCTGTTTATCTTGAAAACCGAGGGATAAGATAATTTTTTTAATTATTGTTACATTGTTTACCCAGAATATTATATTGTTTATCCAGAATATTACATTGTTTACACAAAGTATTATTGTTTAAAATAAAAATCACATTCCCTAGAGATTTAGGTAAAAATCGAATTCCAAGAAGATATAGATTTTAGATCTTCAAATTATTAAATCTTGGGGAAGATCAAATTGGGTGAAAGAGTATTCTCTACGGATCTTGCATGCATTTGATTTTGAAGCAAAACAAAATAAGGGTTAGATAAACAAAATGAATATTCAAATATATGATTTTATGGTCAAATAAATATTTTAAAAAACAAACCTTAAACCCAAGTAATTTTCTGCTCTAATAATCCATCTTAGAGAACTTTTTTAAATGTCTTTATGTTTCAAGTGATTCATGTTTCATTTAAGTTAGATTTCCAATAGTCAACATGCTTCTATAAAGGGTATCCCTTAGGTTTCACGCGGATCACTAATGAAACTTTCATGAGCATTGATAAACATTAAATGGATGACAATGATTTATTTAAGGGAGTTGAATATAGTAAAAAAAAAGCTTAACTATCCCTTCGGACACGAAAAAAATCGAGGTGAATAAACTGTTTTTTTTTAAATTACATTGTTTATATATATAATATTAAAAATACAATGTATATAATTTAGTATTAGGGTAAAATCTATTTAACGAGTAATTTAAAAGTAAAATATGCTTACTAACCACCTCGGTTTTACTATAAAATTAAGGTTTTATATTAACTATCACCTCGGTGTTAAAGAAAATCGAGGTGACAATTTCTTTATATTTTTGGGAAATACATTGTTTACACAGAATATTAAAAAACATTGTTTACAAAAAATCTTCGGTGATATCCAAATTTTGTTGCATACCCACTAAAACAATTTATTTTGAAAACAAGAATGATTATTCTGCACTTGTAATCTATCAATTGAGTACTCTTTAAAGGTTGAGTTAGTTATCTTCTTTGTTAGTTAAACTTAATTCTTTGTTTAACTTGAACCAAAAATTATTTTATGCACTTGTAATCTATCATCTGAACTCTTTTCAAAGGTTGAGCTCGCATGATTGTTGCTTAAACTCCGTTCTTGGGGTAACTTGAAGTAAGAATGATTTCTAGCACTTGCAATCTATCAACTTAGTACCCTTCTTTAACTGAGGGTTATTACAAAAAAATAAAACAACGAAAACATCAACACCATTATGTGAGATAGATTGCAATGACAGAAAAAATGTTTTGTTCAAGATAGAAGAACATTGAATATTTTTTTTTGTCTTATAATCCTTCTCAAAGAATGATGCTTTTGGCGGCTTCATATTAGTAAGGATTAGGGTATAATCTGCTTAACGAATTTTTTTATAGTAAAATCTTATTATTTTATGCCTCGTTTAAATAGAAAACCATAAGGTTATAACGTAATTGTACTTGTCAATCACTAGGTGATCACATTCACCATGTCTCAAAACATTAACTCATATTCTATACAAAGCATATTTGTTTGTGCCTAAGCTAAGATTTTAGCGACTACTCGTCCACAGTACACATCGAGGTACCTTTGCGTCCAAGCATCGCCACCTAAGTCATGCTCATAACCTAAGTTATCTTTCTAGTTCATTCACCTCGTTATCCTCCTAAGTTTTTCTCACTAATATTCATAAGGTTTTAATCCTACTAGACATTAACTCGTGCGATGCACGTGTGTTTTTTAATATTGCATATATAAATCAATATAATGTATGAAAAAATTGCAAACAAACTTATAACAGAATATACTTTAATCTAAAATTTAGATTTGCATATAAAATATAATATTTTAAGTCACATAGTTGTTGATAAATAAGTAAACACATAACTACTGAATATTACGAAAGACTTCTTTGTAAACGATATTTTCCGTTTCAGTTGTATCTTGACCTTCGTCATCGGTTAGCAATATCTTTAATCGTTTCTTTGAAGTAACCCTTGGTAGTTCCACATATAGCTGTCCATGGGAAAAAATTGACTAAGGTAGGTGTACTACAACGAATTTAAGTAATTGACCTCGACTCTAGTTGATAATCATTGCAAATAAAACCATTAATGAAAATTGCTGACGTTGGTATTTGAAAGGAACTCTTTTATTAGAAGGAGTCAATGATAACCTTGGAATAAAAACCTTCTGACATATATTGTTATCGGATATAATCATACCTTGTAGTACATATCTTCTCATTTTTGTAATTATCAACCAAGTTCCATTGCACAACCCTAAGACTGATCAATATTTCTCAATATCATTACTGGTACTCCAACCTTTAATCTTATCTTGTGATTTGAAAGTCCAGAAGAATATATATACAGATTCTTTTGGTGATATTTTTAATTCACAAAGCATGACAACTTTTTAATTTTTGTTTTTCATAAGAAATTTATATATTTATCAATCATAATTATCTCATGTTTTTTATTTATAAAAATAGATATTTGTAGCATTTTTTCATGACTGTCTCATGTATTTTTTTCGTGATTGTCTCATATATTTTTAGCATGTTTTTGACGTATTTACCCATTATAATTTTTTTAACTCCATATATTTTTAGCATGTTTTTGACGTATTTTTTTCGTGATTGTCTCATATATATCTCATGTTTTTGACGTATTTACCCATTATAATTTTTAGCATGTTTTTGACGTATTTGAAATTTCTTTGGTTTGGAAAAATTGACCAACAAAATTTAAAAATTTTAACTCCACCTTTCACCTTTAGAAACTTTTTTCGATTCCTACAATTCTCTTCTACACCTTAAAAGATATTTTAAGGGAAAAAATAGAAAAATGAAATATATTAAAGAATCGAGTTTACAAATATGATAAATAGTGACTTTGATATTTTTTACTTTTTTAGATTTTATTTTATTTTTTTAAAAACAATTTTTTTAATGGTATGTAAGAACTTAGTTAATTCAATCTTGAGTTTGGTTAATATGTTTTGATGTTAAAAAACATGAAAAAAACAATGTTGGTTAATTAATTGAGTGTAATATATATGTTGGTTAAAATAGTTCATAGTATGGTTATTGAGTACTTTGACTTTAAAAAATAATGTCTCAAATCAACTTTCATTAACGTTGGTTAATACAGTTCATAATTTAATTAATAAATTTTTAAATTTAAAAAAAATTAAATAATAAATAAAGTTAATTAATAGAGAGTTAAGATTACTCGATACATTTTAATATTTAATATCAAAAAATGATTATTAATATATATTTTATTGGTTAATACAGTAGTGAAATTGATTAATAAATTATAAATAAAATAAATAGTTAATAACATCCACTTTTGTGATTAATGTAATGATAAAACTGATTAATAAAATAATTTTATATTTCTAATACAAATTAATTTTTAAAATCAATTTTTTTATAAAAATATATATTTTTTCTAAAATGTTTTTAAAAACTTTAAAAAAAAACATTATTCAATGCATATATATGAATTTTTATGTTATTTTTTAGTGTCAACATAACATTGTTGTTTTATTAGATACAATATGTATTTCTTGACATATATTGTTGTTTGGTAACAAATTGTTTAATTTGTGGTTACAGAACTATTGACAGTGTGATTTATAGTTATGGTCAAGGGAAACTGAAAGCTTTCGTTGGTAATCCCAAGACAATTATAGATGCAGTAAGTGTATTTAGATTTTTTTATATTAACATGGATATAAATTTAAGTAAAATATGATTGAGAGAATACATCCGCCAGAATATCTGCAAAAAACAATCACAAACCCCTCGTGTAATCCACATGCATAATCACCTGCCTCACATATGATCCCATCCACCCTGTGCGTAGGGTAGTTCAAAATCACCTACCTCACATATTAAAACGTCTTAAAATTGTTGTTTGTCGCGTACTAGGTCGCTTTCTATAAGACGTTTCGCCGTACTGCCAAATTATGCAAAGCAGTCGATTTACGACGACGCCTCCAGGATAAACCAACCCGTTCTTAAAACTTACGATTATTAGTTGCACACTGATAAATCGCTTCAGTTGCACACTGATAAATCGCTCTAGAAATACACCTTTCTAAATTAGTATCTGGCGCAAATAACCAGTCAAGAAAAGAAAAAATTGTAAGATGAAGAGAATAAAGGGAGAGAAGAAGGAAATCAAAATTCGTGTGAATTTGTGAAATCCGATGTGCTCACTACTGAATTTCTACCCTGTATTTATAGGCAGCTAGTAAGGCTTAATTTCCATTCCCTTCAATGTGGGACTAAATTGAATCTTAATTTTCATTCCCTTCAATGTGGGACTAAAATGAATCTTAATTTCCATTCCCTTCAATGTGGGACTAAAATGAATCTTAATTTTCATTCCCTTCAATGTGGGACTAAAAATGAATCTTTTCAAATTCACTTCTATATTAGTTCTTACTTGTGTTCATTTATTGCTCATTAATTGTCAACAAATGTTTCCAATTTCCACTCTAATCAATTAAAGTTCCAACATTCCCCCACTTGAATTTAAAAGAGATTTTAGAAGTACGTCAGACGTTTCTAAGGTTGAGTATAAGCAAAGGTGTCTACGACTTGAACCTTAGCGTAGCGAGTAGGATTCTGATTCAACAAGAGTGACACCATTGTCTTGAACTCTATCTCGGACATCAGACCCGCACACAACCTTTCCGTAAGGTGTATTATTGTAGCCCGTGCTTTAGTGGCCCTGCACGTGTATCCCGGTTTAGTGAATGCTCTAGGAATTCTGCCTCGAAATTCCATAGGAACCGGCCTCAGTTCCACAGTCACATAGGTGAATCTATCAAGAGTACTCCTGTAGCCTAGGTACTCCCTCATACAGATTATAGATCTCATTAAGAGTTTCTATTATCTCATCCTCTCATTACTTCAGGATTCATGCTTTACTTGCATGATCATTTTCATATTGCTCACAACTTGTTATTACCCATTGAACCTAAGTCTTGGGATCTCCAGTCATTTAGGTCGGGTTACCATCATGAGTAACAAATTGCTTTATAGGCATTAGTCCCATCTTTTTGGAAGTATTATGGACTTTCTCTCTAGCTAATCCTTTCGTCAAAGGATCTGCTAAGTTCTCATCAGTGCGTACATGATCCACTCTCACAGCTCCTTTAGAGATACAGTCTCTAACAGTGCTATGTTTTCTTCTAATTTGACGTCTTTTACCATTATAATAACGGTTCTCAACTTTTTCAATAGTCGCGGTACTATCGCAGTGGATCAACACAGCTGGTATAGGTTTTTCCCATAAAGGAATCTCAGCTAGTAAGCATCTTAACCAACTTGCTTCTTCACTAGTTGTAGCTAATGCTATCATCTCAGACTCCATTGTGGACTGTTCCAGAATGGTATGTTTCTTTGATTTCCAAGATACAGCTCCTCCGGCTATACTAAATATATAACCACTAGTAGCTTTGGAATCATCCGATAAGGTGTTCCAATCTGCATCACTATACCCTTCTAGTACAGCAGGAAATTTCTGATAGTGTAGGCCGAGGTCCATAGTCCTTTTAAGGTACCTCATTACTCGCTCAATAGCTTGCCAATGTTCGTTACTCGGCCTACTTGTAAATCTGCACAACAATCCTACGACATATGCAATGTCGGGTCTAGTACAATCAGTGGCATACCTAAGACTGCCAATGATGCTCGCATATTCTGCTTGTTTGACACTTTCTCCAGTGTTCTTAAACAATTTCACACTTGGATCATACGGAGTGCATGCAGGTTTGCAATCAAAGTATTTATATTTCTTTAAGATCTTCTCCACATAGTGAGATTGATCCAAAGAAATTCCTTGGTCGGATCTCGTGATCTTGATACCCAGGATCACGCTTGCTTCTCCGAGGTCTTTCATATCAAAGTTATTGCATAACAATGATTTCATATCATTAATGGCCTGAATGTTTGATCCAAATATAAGTAGATCGTCTACATATAGACATATGATAGTACAAATGCGGTTCTCAGATTTGTAATAAACGCACTTGTCACTTTCATTCACTTTGTATCCATTAATTATCATTAGGTTATCAAACTTTTCATGCCATTGCTTAGGGGCTTGTTTTAGTCCATACAGAGACTTATCTAACTTACAGACCTTGCTTTCTTGTCCTTGGATTACAAACCCTTCTGGTTGTTCCATATAGATTTCTTCTTCTAAGTCACTGTTGCGGTTAGAATATGATATCAAATTATTAATTAATTTGAATCGCATCTTTGGTTCACAACCGCTCTTTGATTTATCCGAAGGAAAAGGTCAAAAGAGGAAAACCTAAATTTGCATCGTAAAGACAATGCGGAGAGACCTAGGTAAGGGGTTGATTAAGCTTAGGGAAGGTATTAGCACCCTAAACTTCTGTAGTACTCTACAGGAACCTTTTGTTTATTGTATGCTTTTTTTTAATATTTTATTATCTGTTTTAATATATATTGAGCTAAGGGATAGAGTGACCTAAAGACCTAAGGGTTAGTCCTAAGTTTACTCGGCAAGACGTCGCATCTTGTGCCTACATATCCTGACGGGAATGGAATCAGAGTAATTGTAGTTCCCCTCGAAAGGGAGGTTAGAAACGTCTTGACTGTGGTCAAGGTTTCAAGGGGTGTAAACGTCTCTTAAGGATACGCTTACGTGGAGTCTTAAAACTCCTATTTCTAAGTTGAATTTTTTAATTGAAATTAGGGTTAAATTAAATATTCCACGGAGGGAAATCCTAAAACAGAGTACGGCGACTCTTTGACCTAATGCTAGGGAAAGGGTATTTTCGTCCACGGCGGGACACCTAGGCGATTAGGATTTTGAAATGGTCAAACGTTAGGGTTATTGACTCGGCGGTCAAACGGCTAGACCTAATCCTTCGGAAGGAACATAACGCTAAATCATGCAAAACATGGCAAAATATTATATGGCAGAAATAAAGTGCGGAAAGTAAAGAAAGCATCGCGACGATCACTCGCGTAAATTACAAATCCCCAAAAAATGCAAAATAAAATAAACCGCGACCATGGCCTCGCGTAAATTACATCCATGGAACAAATTACAAATATTGATAACGAAATATTTAATTAATAATAATCGTAGACCGACTAAAACCTAGCGGAAAACAAATAGAGAACGTTAGTGGAAAAAAAAGTTAGGCGAAAATCAATGGCAAATAATAAAGCAATTAATAATGAAAGAAAGAAAATGCAATTTGGAAATTTATTATTTTATTAATTTTGAAAAACTTTATTTTTAATTTCTGAAAAAAGAAATTTAATCTTAATTTTGAAACAATGGTTTTTAATAAAAATGTTTTAGTTTTAATTTTTTTTAAAAGGATTCAATTTAAATTTTTTTAAAAAAAGAAGTTTTAGTTTTAATAAAAAACAGTTTTATTTTTTTATATTATAGGAACATAGTTTTAAAACAAGGTTTAACTAGCAAATATTTTTTAATTAAACTAACCATTTATTATGACATAATTACAATTTAAAGAAAATCAGAATAATAATAATAATAATAATAATAATAATAATAATAATAATAATAATAATAATAATAATAATAATAATAATAATAATAATAATAATAATAATAATAATAATAAGAAAAATAAAAAAGGGAAAAATAAAAAATATAAAAAAAAATAAAAGGGGAAAAGTAGGCTTCACGCTGAAGCATTTCAATCTTCAGGTTTTTAGAAACCCCATCTTCTTCTTCATCACGGTGGCGGCGTCGTTGCAGCTCCTTTGCATAGCTGGAAACGATTTCTCTCCTTCGGTTTGTTCCACCTGAAAACAACAGAAAAACTTTTTAATTGACAAAAAGAACTGCTCACCTCGTTCGGGGTTCGAAGCGGTTCGCGGTGGATTTGCTGACGCTTTCCTCTTCTGATAAGTCGTGAGAACGGCCGCCGTTTTTTTCTCTTGTGTGCTCTCCCCTCACTTATGTTTATATAGGTAACCAAATTAGGGTTAACTCTAACCTAATGCCTATTTTAAAGCCCAACTTAAATAATTAGTCAAAGCTAAAAACACAAACTAAAACAAACTTAAAAGAATAAAATCTTTTCTAATATTTTTAATTTTATGATTTTTGGATGTTTTTATGAATAATATGAAAAAAAGTGAAAAAATAATATTTTTTTAAAAAATAATTTAAATAAAATACGAAAATAATAATTAAATTATAAAAAAAAAAACTATTTTGTTATTTTTTTTATAAAAATAGAAAAGTTAGAATAAAAATAAAAGAAAAACAAAAAGTGAAGAAGGTGGGATTCGAACTCTCAACCTCTCACACTCACAACTCCTTACACACGGTCTCTTACCAATTGTGCCATTTTATTCATTCAAAATAAAGTGGCACTAGAAACTATGTAAAGGTAGGACAAATTTGGGGTGCAACAGATGCCCCTATTTAAATAGCTTCACCGAATGATTTGAGCAGCGGAGACTCGAGAAATCACGGTGAAAGGGATTTAAATACAGATAACCGGAAATTTAGCCCCTAGATGCAGTGATATGCAATGATATGGACAAAATAACACGAACTATAATGCTGACAATGCCATGAATCTAATATGATGCGTATGATGGAGTGATGAATGCAAGGATCAGACGACACGACGTCATAGGGGACAACGCAGCGAAGAATTGCAC